CTTGAGGCAGAGTTGCTCTGCCCGAGGCTTCCTGGAATCAGCTGCTGATCAGTTTCAGCAGCAGCTGACTCGGGGATGCCTGGGTTTCTTAAGTTGAATCTGTATGTAAGTCAGAACTGGCATCCAGATTCAGCCGCGGTTGAAACTGATCAGTTTCAGCAGCGGCTGATGCCAGTTCCGACTTACATACGGATTCAACTTAAGAACAAATCTACAGTCCCTATCTTGTACGTAACCCGGGGACTGCCTGTACAGAAAGAACATTTTAATATAGAGATAAAATGGAGCAAGGTTTAAGAAACCTCATCCACACAGCTTTAATGTTTTATCAAGATCACGTACAGTATGATGGGGGCTAATTTGGCTACAACAAATCAGGAAAGAGATCTTGGAGTTATCGTGGATAGTTCTCTGAAAACTTCCACGCAGTGTCCAGCGGTGGTCAAAAAGGCATGCTAGGAATTATTAAGAAAGGGATAGAAAATAAGACCCAGAATATCTTATTGCCTCTGTATAAAACTATGGTACGCCCACATCTTGAATACTATGTACAGATGTGGTCTCCTCACCTCAAAGATATTTTGGCCTTGGAAAGGGTTCAGAAAAGGGCAACTAAAATGATTAGGGGTTTGGAACAGGTCCCATATGAGGAGAGGTTAAAGCGACTGGGACTTTTCAGTTTAGAAAAGAGGAGACTGAGGGGGGATATGATAGAGGTATATAAATTCATGAATGGTGTGGAGAGGGCCGATTTTAAAAAAAAGTTATTTATTAGTTCCTGAAATAGAAGAACTAGAGGACACCAAATGAAATTAATGGGTAGCAGGGTTAAAACTCATAAAAGAAAGTTCTTCACACAGCGTGTTGTCAACCTGTGGAACTCCTTGGCAGAGGAGGCTGTGAAGGCTAGGACTATAATAGAGTTTAAAGAGAAGCTAGATAATTTCATGGAGGTTAGGTCCCTAAAGGGCTATTAGCCAGGGGATAAAATGGTGTCCTTGGCCTCTGTTTGTCAGAGGCTGGAGAGGGATGGCAGGAGACAAATCCCTTGATCATTGTCTTCAGTCCACCCTCTCTGGGGCACCTGGTGCTGGCCCCTGTCGGCAGACAGGATACTGAGCTAGATGGACCTTTGGTCTGACCCAGTACGGTCGTTCTTATGTAAGATAAGTCAATATATTCATTGCAATACTGTTAAAGTTGATACATTATATGGCTTCCAAAGCCAGAGAAAACCATTATCATCACCTAGTTTGACTTTCTATATAATCCAGATCATGGAATTATTTTGGGTAAATTCTTAGATCATATCTTTTTCTAAAAGATGTGATCAGGATTTGAGAATTGTCAGTGATGGAAAATCCACCATGACCCGTGGTAGATTGGTTCAATGGTTAATGACGGTCGCTGTTTAAAAATATATAGCATCTGGAAAGGCTGATTTTTTTTTTTTAAAGTCTAGTTTCAACTTCGAAACGGACTAGTGTCCATTTCTCTTTTAGATTGAAGAGCCCATTATTAAATATTGGTTTACCTTAAAGAGAAGGAGGTTAAAGGCTGAAAACAGTCTTTAAGAAATAGAGCAAGGGACATCTCACTTTATTTCCGATGCAGTACATAGTGGGCCTACTTCTCATTTATACAAAGCCTGAGCTATGTAAAACAGCCTTCATGTAAACGAGAGTCTGCTGCAAATTGCTTATGGTGGGATGTTGTTGTTTTTGCTTTTGCTTCTGAGTTCTCACCTGAGGAATGGCGCTGACAACTATTTTTGTGATCACCATCCATTATCTGAAAGTCTTGACTCTACCTCAGAACCCTACTGGCGTGGGTAGATGATGGCCATAGTTGCTGAAAGAAATGGCCAAACTTCATTTTAAAAGTTTGATTGTGTGGGTTTTCCTAGCCACTTTGCTCTGTTCTGTGGAGTGCTGCTTAACTTTCTGCTATTTCTCAGTCAGTTAAATTACTGGCCATACTTATTTTTATATGAACTGTTGTTGTGGCACCTTACAATTTCCTGATGGAAAGGGATGTTACAACTGCAAAGTCACATTTATTATCCATCCATACACTGCAAGTAATGGACAAGTTAACACCACCTATAACATCTTCTTATAAACCAGGGATGGGCAAATACTGGCCTGCAGGTTGTGCAAATACTGACCTGCCAGAGTTAGCTCCTGGTGGACCTCCACTGCTATGTTTACCTGCAGAGCTGCAGGTGCTGGCGATTGCAGCTCCCACTGGACACAGATCGGTGTCCCTGGCCAATGGGAGCAGCAGGAAATGGTGTCCCAGTCCACTCTACTTCCTTTCACTCCCATTGACTGAGGCCAGTGGGAGCTGCAATTGCCAGTATCTGTGGCCATGCAATTAAATATAACGGCAGCCCACCAGGGACTAACTCTGGCAAACCGCTGTCATATTATTGCCCAGTTGTACTGTAAACACATCATAGTCCAATGATCCTACTGCGTTACAGAAGAAGGCAGCTTTGTATATCGAACTAGCCTGTTTTCCTCTGTTTCAAGTATCGTTCGTCTACTCCATCAATCCCTTCTCAAAATCAGTTTCTTTAGCTTTTCCACTAGTGATCTCAACTTCATTCCTTCCTTTTCTTGCTCTTGTACCTGATCAGAAAACACAAAGAACAATTATGTAAGACTGAACCATCTTTATTTTTTTTAAATGCTCTCCTCAAAGCTGTGTTCTCTTCCACTTCTATAGACCTCTTCTTTTCTGAGTCAACTACTGTTAGTTACAATCTAAGCAGATAATCCAATGAAAAGTAAGCACTTCAAACTTTAAAATGAGAGTCCCTGACCTGAAGTGTTTTGGGGTAAGCCCATCAACATAATAGTTAATTGACGCAACAGAGACCTAATTTAACTGTAATTGGGCTTATCATTAAATTTAGTAAGGCCTTCTGTACCTTTTGGACGATGCAGGTAAGGGTAAGCAGGAGGAAACTTGAACTTTGTTGATAGAGGCTAGGAGGGAGATTAAACAATTATCAAAGCTGAATCCAAGGCATAAGAAAATTGAGTTTAACTTTCTCTACGCCTTTCAATATATTGGTGTTTTATGGCTTCACATTGTCCAATTACTAGTGGAGTGTATGTATGGGGGGGAAGTGTTATATTTCCCAAGAGTTCTCAAAATCCCTGCTAGAGCAAACCACAGGGCTTCATTTCAAACCATTATCCTACCAACTGTTGACTAGCTGGTACTCCCGTTGGAGCCTGCAGATGTTCTTTGTTAATTGGCTGGAAGAGTCACTGTGTGTGATGCAAGGTGTTGTCTACTTTCTTGCTGCTAGGAAGCTGATATGGTTGTCTGTAGCAGTCCCAACTTTTGCAGGTCCTGGGTTTCTTGCTTGGGAAATCTAGAGTGAGTTTATTTTATCATGTTTGGTTTGCAAGTCCTAACTTGTAAGTCTCTCAAACTTGTCTTTTCAAGGGGCATTCACTTATTGTGGCATATAAACACAGGTACCTTTTATTTTAATCCAGGCTTTGTCATTATCCTAATGCTTTTTAAAATAAATGCATAATCAAATAGCTGACTTTATTCAAATTTTTTCTCTCCAGTCTCCAGAGGGTGCTGAGGGCAAGGATGCAGCAAAAATAACTAAACAAGAGGCAAGTATAACTCCTGTTTTTCATCTGTTGTTGTTTTAATTATTTAAATCCCAGTTATACAAGACTAAATAGTAACTGTTTCTTCATAGAGCTCCATTTATGATGAAGGGTTTTCTGGAACTGGTGTTAACCTCATTTGTGGGTACATTTGCAATTTTTTCTTGGTAAAATTCAATCCGTTGGCACTGGAGAACTAGAGGACAGATTGCTACATGAGGCATTTTCCAGTAGCACTTCAGGCTATGGGAAAGAATCCTGAATCCTTGCGTCATGATAATTTACTTTTTAAATCCAATAAGGAAGTTCAATGCTTTGATTTGAAAAACTGAATGAACATTCAGGTAAATTAACAGTGAATTGCTTCTGATTTTAAAGTTATGAACGTTCTCCAAAGTGCATATTTGATCTGCAAACATGAGTAAGAACATAAATTCTAGGTCTCTAGAAAATGTAAAAATTAGTGAGCCAAGATAAGGAAGATGACTTGAAGATCAGACATGTAGAAAAAAATGATGCAGTAGAAGTGGCAAACCTGTAGCAATATTTAATCATAACCTTCTGAGGGAATAAATGAGCTATTTGGAAAGTAGGAAGAAGTCATGAAACGGGTGTCCTGGCTACTACAAAGATAAAAACCATGTCTTCGTGTGACATTTCCTAGAAGATCAACAAGAGAAGAATATGATTGTGTTACCTGCACAAATTTCTCTATCCCTTCCACACTATAGGGACACACACCTTTACCCAGCTCGTAGGGCTCAGGGCGCATCTTCCTGCGGGTTTTTCAGGATCTTTTAGCCACTGAAAGAGCCTCACACAGTAATATCCTTATCCTCTATTAATTGACAATTCCCAAACAAGCAGAATTGTCATGCT